GGAGCGCACTCACCCCCACGCAGCGCCTCGTCCAGCTGCGGCATGCGCCCAGCCTTGCTTCGCGCCCAAGCCCGACCGACCCAGCCCTTAGAGCCAATCCTTATCCCAAAGTTGCGGATCCGGCCTGCTGACTTCCCTTACCTACATTGTTCCAACATGCCAGAGGCTGTTCACCTTGGAGACCTGCTGCGGATATGGGTACAGCCCAGCACGAGACTTACACCCTCTCCCCTGGACTTTCACGGGCCAGTGAGAGCTCACCGGACACTGCCAGAACCGTGACGCTTTCCAAGTTGCAGGCCCCTCTCTCGGGGCGAACCCATTCCAGGGCGCCCAGCCCTTCACAAAGAAAAGAGAACTCTCCCTAGGGCTCCCGCCGGCTTCTCCGGGATCGGTTGCGTCACCGCACTGGGCGCCTCGCAGTGCCCGTCTCCGCCACTCCAGATTCAGGGATCTGAACCCGATTCCCTTTCGATTGGCTGAGGGCAACAGAGGCCATTGCCCGCCCTTTTGGAATGGCGCTCGCCTATCGCTTAGGACCGACTGACCCATGTTCAACTGCTGTTCACATGGAACCCTGCTCCACTTCGGCCTTCAAAGCTCTCGTTTGAATATTTGCTACTACCACCAAGATCTGCACCTGCGGCGCCTCCACCCAGGCCCACGCCCCAGGCTTCGAGGCGCTCGGCAGCGGCCCTCCTACTCGTCGCAGCCTAGCTCTGGCGGGCATCGCACTGCCGGCAACGGCGGGGTATGGGCCCGACACTCCAGTGCCATCCATTTTCAGGGCTAGTTGATTCGACAGGTGAGTTGTTACACACTCCTTAGCAGATTCCGACTTCCATGGCCACCATCCTGCTATCTAGATCAACCAACACCTTTTCTGGGCTCTGATGAGCGTCGGCATCGAGCGCCCTGACCCGGCGTTCGGTTCATCCCACAGCACCAGTTCTGCTTACCAAAAGTGGCCCACTGAGCACTCGCATTCCACGGCGCGGCTCCACGCCAGCGAGCCGGCCCCCTTACCCATTGAAAGTTTGAGAATAGGTTGAGATCGTTTCGGCCCCAAGACCTCTAATCATTCGCTTTACCGGGTAAAACTGCCCATTGCCGAGTGCCAGCTATCCTGAGGGAAACTTCGGAGGGAACCAGCTACTAGATGGTTTGATTAGCCTTTCGCCCTTAGACCCGGGTTGGATGACTGATTTGCACGTCAGGACCGCTATGGCCACCTGCCTGCCGGAGGCCTTCCCAGACAACCCGGAGCCGGTTGCGGCACACCGCCGTGGAGGAAATGCACCCGGCCAGAGCCAGCCGCTGGCCAGGGGGGCAGTCCCCGCACCGGCCTACCCCCCCAGCCCGCCCCCGCGGACGGGGTTTGCCCGGGGGATGGAGGGGAGGCGGAGGCGAGGATCCACTGAACCTGCGCCGGCCGACCGCAACTCACCAGGTTGAATCCTCCAGGCTGACTGCGCGGGCCCCACCCATTTACCTCTTAACGGTTTCATGCCCTCTTGAACTCTCTCTTCAAAGTTCTTTTCAACTTTCCCTTACGGTATTTGTTGGCTATCAGTGACGTGCCGGTATTTAGCCTTAGATGGAGTTTACCACCCACTTTGGGCTGCATTTCCAAGCAACCTGACTCCGAGAAGCCCCGGGCCCAGCACGCCGGGGGACCACTACCGGGCCTCACACTGTCCGCAGGCTGCGGCCTTGATCACAAGGACTTGGGTCCCCCAAGAGCGCCGCCGGGGAGAGGGGCTTCTGTACGCCACATGTCCCGCGCCCCACCGCGGGGCGGGGTTCAGCGCTGGGCTTTTCCCTCTTCGCTCGCCATTACTGAGGGAATCCTCATTAGTTTCTTTTCCTCCGCTGACTAATATGCTTAAATTCAGCAGGTCGCCACATGTGATGTGAGGTTGCAAGCCCAAAGCTTGGCCACCGCACGCGCGGACGGCTGCCTTATCTCCCCCCGCCCAGTGCACCCCCACCCCCCCCCCCGGCACTCCCAGAGGGAGCAGGACAGAGAGAGAGAGAGAGCACGAGCGAGCGAGGAGGAGACGGAGAGCCCCATCCCAGAGACAAGAACCGAAAAGGGAGCACGGCAGAGACAGCCCCGCATGGGAGGACCGGCCACGCAGCGGCGCGCGATGGCCTCTGCGGGGAGAGGCGCAACAGTGCCCTCAGCGCACCCCGAGACTGGGGCAGAAGAGGAAGGGGCGGGCGAAGGGAGGAGGGGGTCGGAACCCCCGTCCCCGGCGCTCTCGCCTCGTGCGCGTGGCAGCACAGCACGGTACCACCATGGTACCCACCCTCAGACAGCCGCCCACGCAGGGAGGAGGCCGGGGGCGAGGCCCACGCCTCGCCTCCCCTCTCGCCCTCCTCTCTATCTTCTCTCGGCCCTCGGCGGCGCTTTCAACGCCGTCTCTCGCTCTCCCCCAGCCACTGTGCCACCGCATCTGTGGCAAGGCCCCGGCAAGGATGAGCTCCGCCCCAGAAGCTCTCTCCGGGAGTGGGGAGATATGGAGCGCTCCCCGAGTCTGCATTTAGGGGGACGAATGCCCTGCACAGCGATAACGACGACGACCACGACGGCGACGACACCTGCTGGGCCGCAGGGAAGGGATCGAGGCCGCCTAGGGAAACGCTTCCCTCGCTGAACCCCTGACCGCCTTCCCTCTGGGCACCAGCGGGACGCCGCTGCCGCTGCCACCGCCGCTGCCGCCGCCCACCGCGGGTGACGGGCCTGCGAGGCGACCCCAACCCCCAGGGTGGCCCCTGGACGGCGATTGATCGTCAAGCGATGCTCAGACAGGCGTAGTCCTGGGAGGAACCCGGGGCCGCAGGTGCGTTCGAAATGTCGATGATCAATGTGTCCTGCAATTCACATTAATTCTCGCAGCTAGCTGCGTTCTTCATCGATGCACGAGCTGAGTGATCCACCGCTAAGAGTTGTCTGGCTTTCGGGCACCGCTCATGTGAAGCGGCCCCTTTTTGTTACTCTGGCACCGAGGACGCGCGGGCGCATGCCTGGCTTCGACTGTACAAGCACACAGAAACAGAAGAGGAAAAAAAAAAAACTGGAGCAACCCATGCTCCGAAGGCTGGCCAAGAGGCGGGGGAGCCCGCACCCCTGACTGCCTCCCCCCACGAGGCAAGACGCTGACCTCACATGCCGTCCTTCGGAGGCAGCCCAGGCGCCCGGGCTCGGCCTGGCCTCCGCACGGAAGGCCAGGCGGCGCACGCCAGAACGCGGGGGGCACGGCAGCCCGCCCGCTTCTCGCTTCCACAGGACGACACACAAAACACACACAGCACGCAGCCAGGGCTGCGCAGCCGTCAGCCCCCGCACACGCCGGCTCTCCCTCGGCCCCAACACCGCGGGCCTCGCGGAGCGCTGCCACGCCACTGCGCAGCCAGCTTTCTCTTCCCCACGGTGCAGCCTTCCCCCACTCAAGACAGCACGAGACGACAACCGGCCCCCTCGGCGTGCCTCCCACGAGACCACTCCCGCCAGGTGGGCGAGCGTCCGGTGGATGCGCTCCACAGCTGGCCCCAGAGGCGGGCGCCACTGAGACCCGAGCCAGCGTTGCCGGCGCCAGAGGCCTGCCGGACGGCAAGACCCTGCCACCGCCAGGGCCGCACTCCTGGGACCGCCACCACCGTATCGCACCACCGGGGCCCCTTGCCTCAGGCACGTACCCGGCAGAAGGCGTACGGTGCTGACCCGGGGGGCAACGCCCGCCCTCCTCGTTTTCACGCGGAGACCGGGCAGGGAGAAGCACACCCACAGCTGCCGCAGCTGCCCCGCACGCCTTCCTTCGGCCCACATGCAGCTGGGAAGGGCGGCGGAGGACGCGACGAACGGGGCTGGGGCCAGGACCGCCGCCAAGCAACGGCAGCGACTTCCAGTCGATCATCCCCGCAGGGAGGGACACCCGTCGAGCGGCACCGCCGCCGCTCGGCACGGGGTCGCCCACGCTCGCGGGCCTCCGCCTCCGGAGGGCCTGCCGAGTGTTCACCCCCCCCCCATCCCGGGCGGGTGGGCGGTCGAGCCAGGGGACAGCCGGCAGATGACGGCACCACCGGTGCACGTTCAAGGAAAAAAGGCCATCGAGGGGAGAGGCACCGGACGCGCCAGATGCAGCGCCACGCACGCCAGAAAGCGTGGCAGCGGGCCGAGAGAGCGCAGCGGGCCCCGGTGGCCGCAACCCCACAGCCGAGGAAGGGCAGAGAGCGCGCGCTCTCTGCCAGCATCGCCCATTACGACGAGGCGAGCGGGTCGGCCCCCGCAGCTGACCACGCGCCGCGGCCTCTCCGCCAAGGCCAGGCCGCGGGAGAGTCGGGGGCAGGGTGCCTCTCCCTGGCGCGGTGCGGTTAAACCCCCACACGCACGGCGGGATGACAACAATGGCCCGAGTCTTTAAACCGCCACCTGCCTCGCCGGCCCCTTTCGGCAGCCCGCAGCGTTTGACAACGCCGAGGGAAACCTGGATGACCGCCAAGGCACAGAGCGCTAAGTACCTGGCCCTGGGGCAATGATTTGCATGGCCCCTGCCGGAGTGCCTCCCCAGCTGCCGCCCTCGGGGGAGCTCCTGGGCCAGGATTATGAATCCTTTGGAAAGGGGTGACCCCCTGGCAATCGCTGGCACCACCAACCAGCTCTTAGAAAGTGTCCACAAAGCCGCCTGCCTGCAAATGATTCATGAAAAGAAATTAGTTCCTGGTTTTGGATGCCCAATGCAATTACCTGTGAAGCCAGAACTAATGACCCCTTGAATTTGTGGGCTTCCAGAAACGCTTAAACCTACAGCAATGACTCTACAGAAAACCATAATGGCTTTGAATCCTGTAGAAAGACTAGATAGATTCCTCAGGAACTCTACTGACCAAAGTGGATCTAGAGATCCTGGCTTCACTCCATACTCTTCCTCCTCACAGCCCTCAGCTTCTCAATCCATCGGCTCAACCCAGTGCACTCCTCCCTCTTCAGGAACCAAAACTAACCCTCCCCCAGCCTCTCCCACAGAACACAGGCAGTGAACCAAAACCAACAGGGTTTTCGGGAAACAAATCTCTCCGCCACTTACAGGTGGGCAAAGGGGCAGAGCTTGGGTTTATTTAAGAATGCTCACTAAAAATAAATCAGGATATATTTTAATCACAGCTATCACAGGCCTCAAAAGGCTACTAGTAACCTTTTTGATTGACACTGGGACTCAAATCTCTGCACTAACAAAAAAGGATGCCCAGAGGTGTGGAATTGTTCCAACTAAGAGACAATGCTGTGTTCTTAATGCTCTGGGAACTGCAGAATCTATGAATGTTGCCTCAGTCAAACTGACCCTCCCTGGAAATGAGCATCAACTAGTCATCAAAATGGTAATTGGGAACATTCCAAATAATTGATTAGGAATGTTTGTCCTTGCTGGGAGGCAGTGGGAAGACTCTGAGGGATTTCTGTGGTCTTTTGGCACACTGCCACTTAACATTAGGCTGCTTCAAACCGCACCCTCCCTACCCTATGATCAAACAACTAATGTAAAACAATACCCTCTACCTTCTGGTGCCAGAAAAGGTATCAAAGCGGTTCTACAGGACTTGAGAAACCAAGGGGTAACAATTTACACACATTCTCCTTTTAATTCACCGGTATGGCCAGTCTGAAAAGCCAATGGAAAGTGGAGATTAACAGTAGATTTTCGCAGGCTTAATGCCAACACGGAGCCTCTTACAGCAGTGGTCCCAAACTTAGCTGAGTTAATAACATCAATTCAAGAAAAGGCTCACTCAATCATGGCAATGGCAACCATGGATGTCAAAGACATCTTCTTTATGATACCTATACAGCCAGAAGATATGGACCATTTTGCCTTCAGTTGGGAAAGGACAGCAATACACTTTCACTCGGCTTCCCCAAGGCTACAAACACTCCCCCACTTTGGCCCACCATGCTTTAGCCCAGGAATTAGGAAAAATACCCAAACCTGATCCTGTAGCTGATAATCAATACATTGATGACATTCTGGGGGGGGGGGGAAAAGGGGGGCAGAGGGTTGAAATAGAGGTAGTAGAGGAACATCAGCAGAAAATAATCTCTCACTTAGAAAGTCTTGATTTGCAGATTCTCCCAGAGAAAATTCAGAAGCCTTCTCAGGAAGTGAAGTTTTTGGGAATTTGGTGGAAAGGAAGGAGGTATGACATTTATTCCACCCGATACCCTAACCTCTTTAGATCAGATTCAACTGCCTGAATTGAGGAAAGATCTCCAGCAAGCTCTAGGACTATTAGTGTTCTGGAGAAAACACATCCCAGATTTCTCAATAATTGCTAGGCCGCTTTTTGACTTGCTGAGGAAAAGGATGAAATGGGATTGGACTCCTTCTCAGGAAGAAGCATTGCAATGACTGATTTTTGAGGCAACAGCTCACCAAGCACTAGGCCCTATCTGTCCCCCAGATCCCTTTCAGGTGGAATGGGGATTTGCCTCCTCAGGGCTATCAGTATGCATTTGGCAGTGGGGTCCTGGGGGTCTGACGGGGCCTCTTGGTTTTTATTCCTGTGGTTTCAAAGATGCTGAGAAAAGATACACTACCTGGGAAAAGGGATTGTTTTTTGGTTAGCTTAGCTCTCCTAGAAGAGGAAAAAATTGCACAACAGCCTATTGTATTAAGAGACCCTTTCAAAGTTATCAAAATCGTCACTAATGGGACCCCCCTCGCCTGACGGGGTAGCCCAAAGGGCCTCAGTTAGAAAATGGTATGCTCAGATGGAAGCCTACTGTAATACTGTCTCAATAATGGAAGATGCAGCTAAAAATCTAGCAATCCAAGACACTGAGAGCCTTGTTAGCAGCCAAGATAAATCTCCCCTGTAATCAAAGCTGCCCTTCCTTTCTCCCCTGAACAAGCAGCAAGTTCTT